CGTCGTCAGTTCCCGTGTGTTCGTATTCAGCAGTTGGTACAGGTTCTGGCTTCGAACCGATAACAAAAACTGGTGCGACGGGTGCTGCGTCTTGTGGCTGATGGAAGAGACTTTGTTGCTGTTCATGCAGACGGCCGTAGACTTGCTCCTGTTGCTGCCGTAGTTGCTCTGCATTGGCCCAAGCTTGCAGGAAGCTCGACTCGTGCTGGTCATTGAAGTTGCCATTGGCCTCACTTTTACTGAGAGGGTCCACATTGCCCATTCGGTTGACCCACGAAAGACCAGACTCGACCTCGACACTGCGTGTGAGCAGCAACTCGCGATGGAACTCCATCCTTTGTTGCATAGTCAAGTGCATATGCTGCTCCGATGCCTCCCCTAGTAGGGGCCCTACGGTCTCAATTGACCATTGGTGGGCAACTGTCTTACTTCCAACGCTTTCTTCGGCGTCAGTCCTTAGATGTGGCGTATGACGATGATGACGCTTTAAGCTCCGTTTGACATGTTTCTCATTGAGTCGCTGCGCCTCGAGCTTCGATCGCTCGTAGCTAATCCGATACTTCTGCAGGTGCGACTTGATGTGATCCGTCGTCAGGCCCTCAGTCGGGTTCTTGCTCTCCATTAACTAGTTTAATAGTACGACGACAGAACTTATCGACAACTGAATAATTGGACACCTGAGTAGATAGACAACTACGTACGACAAGAAGCGCTTTCGGTGACGCATTCTTGACCCCCACTGTAGAACATTAATGTACGCAAGGTCGTCACCTCGCAGCCACCCACGGGGACACTAAAAGCCATGGACGCACATTCAAACACTGCAGACACGAAGCGCAGATGAAGGTCTTCCGTCCAAAGCAACCGCTTCGTCTTGCGCTTGGCTCTGCTTACTGGAGTCGAGCTACTGCCACTCCCGCAATTTAACTCAGCTGGAGCTATTGCGTCTGGTTTCGAGCTGGAGCCTTCGACGCCGCTCGGATCCATGAGGATTCGAGCGGCGTGCGATTTGGTCGAGATCGTATCAGGTATCACGAGGACTTATCAAGAACCGCCAGGTTCGCCTCTCGACTCAGTTGGATACTATGCCATCGCCATCGTCTGCAGTTTTTGCTCGGGTGGTACAGCAATAAACACATTGGCGTCATTAGCGTTAGCAGAGATGCGGAGGATACAACCACCAGGCATTACATAGTCACTGGCAACTATTCGAATCTTGGGTCGAGTTGGGAAGCAGTTTATGCTTGGCAGCTTTGTCAAAGTGCTGTGCAGCTGATATTATCAAACGAGACTTTTTTTTGTTTTTTGTTTTTTTAAAAAACCGAAGCCACATCCAATGTGCGATGGTGTTGTCTGCCAATTAAGGGATTGAAAAAAAACCCTTCATCTGTTCAAGTTCCCCACTCCATGTGTCAAATGGGAAGCATTTTCCTCCAACTCTTGTGGACAACTGGTACACGGTACCAGGTGTCCACAAGAGTGACGGGTCACTTTTTATGTAACCTGGGGCAGGATTGTACCCCGTTACATCCTCCCCCACTTAAATGAGTATCACCTGATTCTCCAATCACAACTATTTCTCCAATCAGAAGTGAGAGAATTAAAACACCAAAAGGTGAATTCTCACACTGAGCAGCCACGAGACTTGCGCGGCTCTCAGTCACACCCACAGTGACTTATGCTCCCAAAGCTCACTGGGATTTGCATCCCTATGCTCACAGCTGTTTGGGCCGCAAAGCCTACACTCAGAGCTGCATTATCAATAGCTCCTGCGCTAGCGCGCGTACAGTGCTTTGGCACAGGGTGCAATAGCATCCGAACGTGTGGCATTCGCCCACAGTTCGCACCAGAGGACACGACAGTCCTCGCGAACGCGTCCAGAGCATGGTGGCTCCCGCGAGGGACGACACCGAGAAGTGCAACACCATCCCTAGCACTAGACAGGAGCTCTCAGCTCACCTCGGGCCATGCCTTTGGCTCCAGCAAGGATCCATCCTTGCGGGCAGGGCTTCTACCACGCTCTCTTCGCGTCTTGGTCACCATACCAACGAC